CCAAAGATCAACAAAGCAGAACAACTAATAACTGAAAAGTCCCAAAAGGGAAGAACAATGGCGGGGAGACAATATTGGACCATGCAAAATACAGATTTGTCTTCACAAAGCCTCAGAAGGGCAAGAGTTATGTACAAGTAAACCTGTACATGAAATTATGTTTAGCTTTTATAATGTTTTTTTTTGTTGTTGTTGTTTATTTTGGCATTCATATAAAACTCCACCAGAGAAAACTCCACCAGCCCGCCACTGGTCCAAAGGTTTTGTGTGAAAACAACCCAAGGCAAACAAAATATGCATGACATGATATGCATTGATATTAAAAAGTTGTTTCTAAATGTCCAAAACACAATTAATTGTGTGTGAATAGGTCCATTATTACTATGTTCTGAGTTAATGGGTTATTTTCACACGTGAGCTTGGAAATATTCTTTCTAAATCTGTCTTCTAAAGTACTGTTGTTTTTTTTAAAGGGAATTTCTTCACATGTGAAGCAATTAGTTGATTCTGCTTTTTAGCACTTGAAGAAACACCCCATGTGTTGCAACTGAGAATAAGAAGTGGTTTATGGATCAGACAGGAAATTGATTTATTTTAATCTGTTAAAGATGAACCCATAGCTAGACTGGTTTGATCTCAAAGTTTGGTTTGATCTCAAAGTCTGTGTGTCACTGCCTTGCTTTCTATCTAATGTAGAAGACTGTTCATGCATTGTAACTAAGCCTGCATAATGCGAATGGAAAGAGCTCAAACATCAATTTTGCAGTAAATAAACACTTGTTTGAAGTGCACTATACAGAAACTTGCAAAAATTACCAGCCTCCGCTTCTGACTTCTGCTTTTGTTTTCTGCTTTCTGGTCTCCTTTCCCTATACAAAGCACTTTTGCCTCTAATATTATCTTTAACAAAAACTTTAAGTTCTTGTGAGGAAAAATCAATCTGTAAATAAAAAATAGGGAGGCTTAAATCTTCCCATTTTTACTTTTATTTTATTTAGAAAACATTCCAAAAAGGTGAATTAAAATACATTATAAAAGACTGTACAGTTCTAACAAGTTTAAAAGTCAGTTCCTAGATTAAGACATTAATATTTAAATAGTGTTTCTTTTAATCCTCACATTAGCTATTTACTTCATCCACATTTGAGAAATGTGCACAGAGAGTGAGGGCTTGGAGTGATCTGGGCTGGGTGGATAAATCTTTAACAAATTAACTAAATGCTAACATAAGACGTGGCTAATAAATATATCAATACAAAGATCGTACAGCTTGCTATTTCAAGTCGATACGGAGTCATGCAGCAGATTGAGTCACTCGGCTTGGTAAGGACTACTGTAAACTTTATTCATATAAATGAAAATCCCTCTTTTAGAACTTTGACAAAGCTAAAATGGTCCAATGTAAAAATAAGTATGAGACCCTTAATGAATGCTGTTTGTTTAAAAAATAAAGAAAGGTAAATTTGGGGGTTAGCTGTGCTTCTAATAATAAAATATTACTAATGTTATATTACTATTCATTTATTACTAATGTGTTCAATATTGATTTCCTAATTTACTGGCTTCTTTATATTCATCCCATTCCACATAGAGAGTACCCCTGGTTCAGCACTCTTTACTAAAAACCATAGTCAAAACCATTTGTCCATGACAAAAACACACTTTACACAGAAAAAGGAGCAAGGTACCAAACACAGATGAAAGTGCCTCAACAAAGCATAGGTTGAGGTACATATGCATGCATGGGTTATAACTGAACTAGTTTACCTTAAGACCTTGTTAACGATATAGGGACAGAACTGGATAAACTATTGCTTCTTCCTGTTCCCATTCCTGCTCCCATTCAAACATCGTTTTTGTGATGTTTTATGTTATTATCAATTTACTTTATTTGTATCACTGCTGCATATGTAAACATTCATATAACTACAAAGATATACACTACCGTTCAAAAGTTTAGGGTCACCCACACAATTTTGTGTTTTCCTGAAAAGTCAAACTGATTCACCCCCTGTTGGGATCCAGCCCACCAGAGGGCGCTGAGGATCCCTTCCTAGGGGTTTTGTGTTACTGTTGAAATCTGGGGTTCTGTCTACCTTTCTCCACCAGAAGGCGTATTGGATCTCCTGAAGCTGGAGATGACTTCACCAGCTGTTCCTCATCTGCTCATCAGGAGACCAGCATTTAAGTGGGCTGAGGACCACACTCCGGTGCCAGAGTGTTAGTCAGTTACGGTACAGCAAACCCTGAGCCAACCTGTCTGTCTAGTCTCCTGACTACGAAAATAGAAAATAGAGTCTAGACATTGACAAGGTTAGAAATAATGATTTGTATTTGAAATTAGATTTTTTTTTTTACATCAAACTTT